GACCCTGCTACGATCCTCGGTTTATTTGGAAATTTGAAATGTCGTTGTAAACGTAGGAACATGATATGATTTTCTTATTGTATTGTCTAATCTGAAAGTGTGTTTGGTAAAGTAGAAACGCGATTAAATCGAGGAAAATTCGAAAATTCTAGCTGCATGTCATCGTGTTAGGTAGTGTTACTTGTAATATACAAATGTTTCTGAATAATCATTTGTAATGCCTTGAAGACGAAGGTTCTTGAATGTATACAAAACCTTCAATAGAAGGAGCTAAACTGCATATCGTATGCTTTAATAATAGAGGAAAGTCTCTTGCTGTTTGAATAATTAAAACATTTTGTTTACAACTTGGGATTCGAATATAAAAATTAGATCTCATCAAAATGTAGATGTTTGTTCTCGAAGAGTTAATTGAGTGAATTATAGTAATTCTATTTGGGAATCACCAGTGTCATACATGGCACTTAACGTGTCAAATAAGTTTGGGTGTGAACATGTTTTAATTCTAAGAATATAATTATAGTCTACTGCAAGTATGCTTTGTTGTGGTAAACAAGAAGCTACTTCTGTATTATGATAATTTGGAACAGGAAGTCTGAAGAGTTTGGAAAGAAAGTCTTGTAATTTTACAGATGAAAGAAAATTATGGGAATGGAAAATTATAAAAACTGCGCCACATTTTATGGGTTGATTAAACATATGAATACTAATAAAAACTATGAAATAGTGCATTGAAATTTGGAAAATTTTCCACGTCACTTTGCCATTTATTTATGTGTTATCTTTTAAGGCGCATTGGGTCATTGTCGTTCAAAAATTTTAAATAACCTTTAGTTAAAATGAACGTCATTCTTATAATATTATTCAACATTGTAAACATTATTCTACAGAAAAAAGTTTCTTAGTCATATAAATTCAATAGTGGGCAACCCTATTTCTTCATATATTTTAAAAACATTGACTAGCTCCCTGAAAATTGTTATACTGTTTTTAAAGTAACATTAACGTCTTCGAGGGCTGCAAGCTGTAGCAACCTTCCGAACGGCAGTGTACGCTGTCAGTCAAATGTTTAGAACATCCTTCACCGTATAAACTTATTTTCGTACGGAAAATGTTTATTACGTCACTGGCAAATTTACGCAGTATATACGCCGTTTCAGAACAATTTGATTTGCGAAGTTATTCGTATCCAGCTTGTTTTCATGGATTTATGATCGAAGTACAATATTGGTAATATTATTATTTATACATTAGCAGAAACATAGATGACAATTTGCTTAGTACCCGAGTGCTTCAAATTTATTTCAAATTTATAGTCAACAGTGAACTTGAAATACTTTCAAAGCATTGTCTCGAGAAACCTTTGCGTTGAAGTGCGAAGAAAAATGATCTAACTACTTCTACATGTATCACAAGGTCTTCCAAGTAAATAATCATCATAATACAGTCAAAACAATACATAATCTCAAACAGACAATCAAATTATAGAATACTAAATAAAATTTGTCCAACCCTTAATAATCGAATCTCCCAACAATAAAATCAAAATTTTATTCACAGCTATTTCCATACAATAATTATCCAAAAAATGGTAACACGTCTAAACATTTTGTAATAATAAATATAAAGGCAAAATAATATATTAAATCTTGAAAACACCTCCATATTACTATCAGAAGACAATATAAACAAAATACGTATTCAACTCTCAATCTCGTTAACCATTAAAAAACAAATTCTTTACTTATAAACCTTGTGTTCCCAATTCACTCAATAAGCATTTTTTTTAATATCTTCAACGCATTGTAAATTTGGAAACATTTAAATTTCCTCCAACTTGTATCATTTAATCGCGATCATAAAGACAACTCGAGGACTATTTATAGCAGCACTTTGAACTTCAGGCTACCAAATAAAAGGGAAAACTTTTTTCACCGAGAAGATCGCGTCAAACGAAAACAGCGTATGATAACAAACAAAACTGCTCCGAAGAAAAAGGCATGCAGCTGAGTCCCTTCGCGATACATTTTGCCAGTTAAACTCCGTGAAGGCGTTAGTTAGAACGCGTGGATCGTTATTCTCGGTGCGGAAAATTGATGTTAGCGAGTCGCGGTGAAATGGCAGTTTACGCGAATTCCGGTGAATATGAAGTTGGAGGCGTTCCAATGGGGAGGAAAGCGCGGTTGAAAATACCATTCAGTCGCTATATTGTGTTTAGGGTCACCCGTTGCGCGATCCCATGCAAAAATCGGAATCTTGCCAGAAAACGATCCGAAAATGGCAGAAAAAAAACGAGAGGAAAACGCGTCGCCGTGAAGAGATACACGCGTGACGGTTCCTATGAATCATTTAGCCGAAATAAGGCTGCAGTTAATGTCTCAGTGACAGAATATTCTGGTCGGTTTAATCGCCGCAATAGAAACGTTTAACGTTCAATTCTCACGGGTACGCCCACTTTGACGATCTTCGCTTTCGTTCGTGTCACGATTTTTATTGGAGAACTTAGAAGAGTTAACGAACATGTTGTAGATTCGAAATTATATGTTTATTGGTAGAGAAACCGAAGAATTGTACAGTAATTATATGATAATTTGAATTTTCTATTCACGGATATTTGAAAATATTAGATATGCTATTGAAGAAATACATTTTCTTGGATAAAAAATTGTGTTGATAGGATACAGGCAGAAAAATGAAGTTTGAATTATTATTTGACGAACTGAGAAATTACTTTCGTTTCTTTCGTGAAAAGTGAATGTTGTAAAGCAAAATTTCGAAGCAGAAGCTCAGCTCAATGTTTTGGTAAACAGAAATTACTTAAAAAATGAAATGTAAAAGGTTCATTAATTATTTAAACTTCTTTGTGTTATTATCTAACGTCTTTATTGTATACTCTATTTTTATCACATTCCTAGGAAACGTATCTTATATTTTTATTAAACCAATTTTTTAAAGTAAATTTATAAATGTTCTGGAATTAAATTAATCGATTTTATTATATTTCCGGTAATAAAAGCTCTCTATTTTTAAATTAAAAAATGATTTTTCGAGAATAGCGTCGTGTATTAATTAATATTCGCAAAATTCAGACCGATGGAAGAGATTGAAACACGCGAGCGCATCTTTCTCGGTCACGCGGAGGAACAACCGTAAAGAAAGTGCATAACGTAATGCGCCGCGTATCACGGTTACAGTTACAGCTATGGACTCTAAAATATAATGATTCAGAGTGTTTTAAACAGTTCCGTGAGAACACTTTTGCCAACTGCGTTTTCGTTCTCTAATAAACAGCTTTCGATACACCACATGCCAACTAAATCAATACTACTTCGCAATACGTATAATCATTCGTAACATAGATAACAGGGAATATAGAAGGTGTTTCGTCTAATACGCACACTCGATTAACTTTTAAACTATGCATCGACTGAATAATTATTATAAAAATGTGGTTTTTTTCGTAGAAGATGGTACAGACGTTCCAAATATTTAAAACTTTGTACACCATTTTTTAGATAATGAAATAAGGTAATAAAATCAGAATTTTTAATGGGCGTTTATTAATATTCACTTGTCTTAAATGTTACGGCTAAAATGCTTTCACTATTTACCGCGATACCTTTATTTGATATCGCGATATCATTTCTGAAATTCTTAATAAAGAAACTATAGTTTAGAAATTGTGGTTCAGGTTTTCGTAATTTCGAGTGTTTATGAAATATTTATTTATATTTTGAACAATTAATGAAATCCAGCAAATAATTCAGTACGCTAAGTACAGACTATTACCGTCAATGATTTATTTAACACTAGAAGTATTAACTATTTCGTAACTATTTACATATAACATCTGATAAAATTCGTAAAAACACATTTTATTATAAAATGAAGTATCTTTCGACATTCATTACACCACTGAAACATTAGTGTTTAAAATAATTTCTTAATTAGAAATGAAAAATAGAAGCATTTTGAAGAGCTATGATATTGTTTCAATTAGTATGAACTAACATAACGCATCACGTGCGATATAAAATTATATTTAATAGTTTCGATTCAATCAAGTCGCAGCCATCAATCGATCAAGTATCAGGACGCGAGAGAAAACATTCGAACGTATTAGCGTAACGAGTTCAAGAAATTGCTCGGAATTCGCAGACGCAAATATCGATGTTACGCGACCCGAATCGCTCCCATCAATTCGTTTTCGACAACGGTCTTGGCAGGTTCAGCGACGCGCGTAAAACCCGTCCGTTTGTTTCTCAGGGAGTGTCCGGCAATTTTTGGCGCGTCTAAATTTTATCGGAAGGTCAATAAATCTCGGCCGATCCGCTGCGAATCCGACGAAAGAGACTTGACGGGAGCCCTATCCAAAAATATCGGACACGTGATTTAATTGATTCATGATTATAAAACATTCGACGCCGGGAGAATTTCAAGATTCCGATGGCAAATTACAAAATTTTATTGCGAGGATGCGTAACATCCGGTCTTCGATCCGAAATATTCTGAGGTAAAGAATAAAACTATATTAGAAATTGAAATTTTAACGTCCATTTATGATTCGATCGATCTTTTAATCCCATTGGCATTATTTGGAAATATTAAGATACATTTAAATATCTTTCTTTAAAATTAGTGGTAGGCAGAATGGAGAACACGTTGAAAATGTCGTTCACTTCTTTTACCATTGAAATTTTGCAAAACGATACATGGAACGAATATATAGTAAAATACATTATAATCAGTATAAATTGCTTATACAATTCAGTGAATTTCTAAATAATAATAAAATAACACTTTTCTGTTACCACTAACGTTATTAGAATCATGTTATAAGAACACTAATAATAATAATACAATAACAAATGCAATAGTAACAAAGTAATTTAATAAAACTTTTACTCCCTATAATGATAATACAGTAATATAATTAAATTTGTATTACTTATAACAATAATAAAATAATGTAATTAAATGTTCACTACATTCATAACAATGATAAGAATATCGATTATAATAAGAGCAATATATTTATCATTCATTTGAAAAGTCACATGTCAACATTTCAAAGATTCAATGTTTCAATTCGAAGTTAAAATAATACAATTAAATTTTCACTACATATAAAAATAACAAGAATTCCAATAATAATAAAAACAATCCATTTATCATTCATTTCAAAAGTCATGTGCTGACGTTTCAAAGACCGACGCCGCAATTATGAATTCACTTGTTAGTTATTTATCGTATCTTAAAAGTCAACGTGTTTCCTTTTATCTACGTGTCAACGGACGGTAATCTTTCTCGGCACCATTTCTTCATTTCGCACGACATTGACTTACAGTCTGCCGCGTCGGCGCCGCAGCTCTTAAACGTCACTCAAATTCGAAGTTGCCAGGTTGCGAATTCGGAACGAACGAAAATTCTACTTCAAACGGTCGAACGCGTTGCTTAACGAACCAACGAAGTCGTTTTCGTTGCGACGCGTGCGATACGCCGCTAAATCATCATTATTAATACAGCAAGACCACCGACTGTCTCGGGTTACACGGAATTAAAATAACGTGAGACTGCTCGACGACAACGTATCGATGATCGAATCCGCGGGTCTGAAACCGTTTCGAGAAATTAGCGAAAGGAGGAAACGGCGTAGAAAGCGGAACACTGCGTCCCCAGAATCGACGATCGGTCATTTAAACTTGTTTGTGCCTAAATGTAAATATTTGTAGTAAGCCGAATGTTAGAATTATTATTCTTTTAAGACATTTTAAGATTTTCAAACTTGGAATTTAGAATTTTTGGAGAATAAGAAAATTAAATGTATTAAATATATGTGGTATCTCGAACGTTTGAGTTTTTTATTTTTTATTTAAGCAACGTTGGAGTTTTAGATGTGTAACATTTTCAATTTAGAATTTTTAGAGAAGGGGAGAATTTGGATTTTTAATGTCTTATGGTAGATAATAATGTAAGATTAAGTATTAGGCTTATCTGTGTACAGGTCACATGTATACTTTCATGTATTTCGCATTGAAAATAATATTTCAGATTTCTACTTATGTTTTCTTTTCATTTATTATAAAAACAGATTTTTCTTCAAATTTCAAATATAAAATTACTTAAATTCATCTAGGAAATCTTCTATAACATTATGACAAACAATTTTCAATTTTAAACTGTTCAATTATTTCACATTCAAACCATTCGTTGGTGTAACAAATATCTCTTCTGCAAATTTCATGTTTATAATTGATCCACTTATATATTTATCGACGCAATCAAGATTCTTGTTTGACCATTTAAGCTGTTATCATTCTAAATTTAAGCAGTCATAACTCTGCTTAATAGTGTTTGAAAAATCTATAAATAGAACGAACCTTGAAAGTAATAATCTATTACCTCACGTCCGCAGACGTTTTACAATCGAACGAAAGATTAGAATACTTTTACCGTATCATCGAGTATCAAAACATCGAAATGTGTTTCGCAACGTCTCAATGAACTGCTGATACGATCGCGTTGAGTCAGCTTCCCCAGAAGACACGAACAAAACCTTCTCTAGAGAAACGTGCTCGAATAACACACGAAAATTAAGGGAACCTTGTGCGCCTCATCTGTTGGCTCAGATTTGGAATTTCAATTGTAGCCTCGAATATAAACTATTGACAAAATGCTCCCCTCTGATTCTGTAAACTCTTGGAAACAGAAATATGCTATCTGAATAAATAAATTTGAATAATTATAGAAATAACTGTATTATTTTACAAAAAACTGAAATTTTAATTCTTAAATTAAAAAAATTATGATATTTGCACTTAACATTTTTTTAAAAATATTAGTATTAATATCATTTCATACTTTTACATGAACGAATAAATATTTATGTGAATAATTCTTTATCATTTATACCTATTTGCTCGATGAAAATTCTGTCAGATTTTAAGCGGCTTATCACGAAAACAGTAAATTCTTCTAAATCCCACGGACAAGTGCCACCGATACGTTAAGTATAATCCATTTAACTGAGAAACGCCCAAGAGAAAAATTCCTCGCCAGTAGAGTCGAGCGAGTTTTCAAGTGGCTCAGCAGAATGAGCTGACTAAAAGGCGACAGGCGTAATTTATGCAACTGGTTGCTGGTACTCGTTGGTTCCGGACCATTTTGGTAGCTCCGCCCTACTTCCTTCTCCTATTAGAGGTGCAAGCTAATCGCCTAGATATTTCGTGAATTAAGTTACTAAACTGGTGCTCAAAATTTCTCAATTTTTTATCAGCCTCCTTAATAGAAAAAGCAAATAACTATAAACTAAAAATATTCGAATATATTTTTACACGATATTTTAACTCAAATTGAATGAAAAATTATGAAATGCCTGGTACCAACAACAAACTTACATTACAACGACTAATTCCTATAAACCAATTAAATCTTCAAACATCCAAGCAAAGAGAAACGCAATCAAATTTCCAGATTAAAACAAGAAACAAGTAAAGATAACTCACAAAAGATCTGCAACAAATCTACGAGACACAAGAAACATAAGAGTTTCCTACGTCCAACATAATCCCCTTTTAAACACCAAAAACCCCTTTCATTAACTTCAAATCTTTTACCAACAAAAACATATCAACTGATTGCGACTGAGGCGATCCTAAAGTACAATATTGGGTACTTAAATAATATACGGACTACCTTTGCTTTTAAGAAATAAAATATTAATAACAATAATAATAATAAATAATATTAATAATGCATTAGAAAATGAACCCTTCGCTTTATAATGGCAACATCGAGCTTTCATATCTGCAATGGAAAGCTGCAAATAAATCATTTCATTATTCAAATAATAAGAGCTACTAGATACGTGGTTTTCCTCTTTTCCATTCTTCAACCTTTTCGTCCCGATCGGTACACACGGGTACCACGAACAGCTTAAATTACCAGAAAGCTAGAAAGCACCTTATAAATAAAGGAAAATTGTATCACACGGATATCTTTGCTCTTGAGATAGCTTAATTGCTAATCAATTGTCGGTACATGTATTTCAGTTGATTAATATGCAGCCTAAACAGATTAATAAGTTTTTTCATGTCTCCGATGAGTTTTCACTTTTTTATGGAAGGGGTTTCTAACAATTTTTAAATGCTCGCCTTCAAAAGTTTAAATAAATAAAACCTAACTAAGATTTGACCAGCGCGACCTTCAATTAGAAAATAAAGGTGGCCCGTATAATACATAAGTACTCAATGCAATAGGACCCCATATAACGTCGATTTAAAAAACTGTCCAAAAATAACTATGAAACTGAAATGTTCCGTAAGAAACCGATACAAGTAGAGGACCAACTTAACCCTTTGCACTCGCATGTCATGCTGGAGATGTCAATACTAATTTGTTATAGAACCTTGGAAATTGTTTTAAAAAATACCACACTTTCAGAAATTATAAAAATTAAATCTTATTATGATAATAATAAACGAAATAAGTATACAACATTGAATTCTGCCGCTGTAAGTTACTTTAATTAATTTCTCTAAAAATAAATACAAGTTTACACCCAACAGCATTGAAAATAAATCGAGTGCAAAGGGTTGATACAAGTTGAACCAGTATACAACAGGATTTTCACGCGAAATTCGTGAACATGAAACTCTGCAAGACGCAATACTTTAACCCATTAGCTACCAGCATTCCTTCCAATAACAGTCTCCGCGGTTACAATATTTTATTGAACAAAACGTATCGTCTTTACAAAATACAAATAATAATCGAGAATGGAAATCTCCTCGAGTTCTCACGTATTACAACATGCGTTGCAATATTAAAATGAAAACACACGTAATCGTAATTTACTTTTCTTTGCACAAAGTATTAACCCTTTGCACTCTTAAGTTTCCCATAAGAAATATTCAAGATTTCCCGTTGCGATATGTACAACATTCCTTAAAACTAATAAATGAGAAAACATGCATCAATGAAGAAACAAAACAGTTTCACTTTAGTATTTTACATATCGATGCATTACACCAAACTCAATGCTAAATATAGGACTTTACAATTTTGCTATATCAAAATACAATATAACATAATAAAATATAATATAATCAAGTGCTGACCAAAAGTCACCTTTCGAGTTTAAAGGGTTAATCGCGTCATAGGGGGTCCCACTGTATCATCCCATCGATAGCTCGAAACAGCGAAATCACCGCGAAGCGTCTGAGTCAGAAGGCGAAAGGGTCGATCGCAAGGGCAAGGCTCTATGAGGCCCGATGAGAATTCACGGTCTCGTTTCCGCCGCGACCGGGCGTCCCGGTGTTTGTAATAAACACTCGCTAAATATCGGTTAGAAAGAGAGGCAGAGGAAAAA